TCAGCCAAAACCAGGCCAGGAGCTGATTGTGGAACAGACCATCAACTGCTCATATGCAAGTTCAACTTGAAGTTAAAGACAATTAAAACAAGTCCATAAGAGCCAAAGTATGATCTGGAATACATCCCTCCTGAATTTAGAGATGATCTAAAGAATAGATTTGATGCATTGAACACCAATGACCGGAAACCAGATGAACTGTGGGATGACATCAAGAGCATCATCCATGGAGAAAGCAAGAGGTCACTAAAAAAACAACAAAAGAAGAGAAGACCAAAATGGATGACAGAAGAGACTCTGAAACTTGCCCTGGAGTGGAGAGAAGTTAAAGCAAATGGAAGAAATGACAAGATAAAAGAGCTAAACAGAAGATTTCAAAGAGCAGCTCAAGAAGAAAAAACAATCACTATAATGAAATATAGCTAAAAATATGTATTCTATTACAGCGAAACCTGAGAGAAAGGGAATTCTATGGGATTGCCTTGTTTGTCCAAGTCTCTCAAATTTTCCACCTTTGACAGGTTAGAGTTTAAATCCTTTCCTATCACTCATTTTGGGAGCTCTGGTAGCATAGTGGCTAAGGCACTTGACTGCTAACCAGAAGGTTGGCAGTTCAAACCCACCAGCCACACTTCTCGGAAGGAAGATGGGGCAATCTACTTCCATAGTAATACTGCCTCGGAAACCCAAGGAGGGGTCGCTATGAGTCGGGTCTGACTTGACGGCACATAACAACAACAACCACCATTGCATTCTAACCACTTTTGTAATTGTGCTGATGCCACAGAAAACAAGGGCTATTCGGCAATATTTATTGTATTTAAAGGGTTCAGGACCCCCTGAAATTGTCCAACTCCAGTGTAAGACATCCTTATCTAGGGGATTAGTTGCAGCACATTTTAATTAGTCCACCTCCTTCACTATTGCTATTTCTGTTCCCTATAGCCATACCCTTACCTTAAAATCCTTATATTGACACTGCTGCTCATTGTTGCGAAGTCTGTGTATCAGAGTCAGGCCATTTAGCAGTGTGCTCATAAACTTTTTAATGGGTGAGAGGCTTTCCTACTATATTGTAGATAATGTGAACTTTATTAGTTTTCATTGCTTCACCAAAAAATGTGGTCAATATATTTTTTTTCCCCAGTCTTTTCTGCCATCAAGTCATTCTGACTCAACAACCCTTTAGAACAGAATAGAACTGCCCTCATAGGTTTCCAGGGCTGTAAATCTTGAGAGAAGCATACTGCCTCATCTTTCTCCTGTGGAGTGGATAGTGGGTTTGAACCGCTGACCTTCTGGTTAGCAGCTGAATGCTTTAAGAGCTGACTATTTTGAGATGCATAAAAAATTGTTCTGAAAAGCATAAGGCACTCTGTATAGAATTTTCTGAAAGTATCATTGTATTTTTTCCTGAGCCCAAATCTTTGTGTTTTACACTTCCTTTATCATTGGGTGGGATATCTGATAGGAGATAAATTCTAATTTGCAAAGGATCCATTTTCTTTAAGATATACTGGGAAATTAATGGTAATTGAAGTATGTGGGAAACGTGATGATGACATGAATTTTATTTCTAAACAATACTTGTAATAGGCTGTAGTTATCCTCACATTCATTTTGTAAGTAATGAGGGTATAATTGTGAATAGATATTTTTCCTCTGACTACAGCAAACATTTCTATCATGTGACATCAATGGGATTCAAAAATTCTTAGAAATATTTTCTAGTTTTGTGGGGAGTATCCTATAAAGGGAGCTGTGGTGGCATAGTGCCTAAGGGATTTGGGAAGGCTGGTGGTTCAAACCCACCAGCCATTCCTTGGAAGGAAGATTGGGCAATATGCTTCTGTAGAGATACCACCTTGGAAACCCAACGAGGGGTCGCCATGAATCAAAACCAACTCAACGGCAGTGAGTTTGTTTTTGTTTGGTATCATATAACAGATATTTATTTTGTCTATTATAGGTACCTATGGAGTTGTGTATAAGGGTAGACACAAAACTACAGGTCAGATTGTAGCCATGAAGAAAATCAGACTAGAAAGTGAAGAGGAAGGGGTTCCTAGTACTGCAATTCGGGAAATATCTCTATTAAAAGAACTCCGTCATCCAAATATAGTCAGGTATGGCATGGTATCTGAATTTAAGACATTTTCCATTTAACATTGCAAATTGGAATTTTTGTGTTTACTAATTTCTGGTGTAACTTGTCTGAGTGGAGTAGAATCCTACTGTTTTTGTTAGTTGGGAATGATGGGCATGGGTAAGAGAATAATAGGCTAGTGTCTTGTCAGTTCTCTGGAATTGACAAGTTTGGAAGCTCTAGTCTCCTAAAGACTCCTTAATTCAGTTCGAAGACAGATAGCTAGGCCAAATGAAAAGTTTTTTTTTGTTTTATTTAGTTTTTTCTTCAGAGTACTTGGATTGGTGTTTTGGGGAAACTCTTCTTGTCAGTTCCAGTTAGAATTTAATTGCATTGCTCTGTAGGTGGGAATGGGGAATAGCTGTTAAGGTCAAATCCTACTTTAAATTTTGTTTCTTTCATTTATTTCATGGGAAAGATAAACTGAGCAACAAGCAGATAACTCAGAAATGTTCTGTTGTAAAATAAATTAAAGGTTGGCACTTTCTGTATAATATTTTATTTTAAATTCCTGCCCTGAGATTCCTTTCTCAAACTCTAGTATACTAAGGCTTTATCTATTAGGGAAGCTTTCCTAAAATAATGTGTTTGTTTTCATAGTATAATTGTTTTATTCTTCAGTCTTCAAGATGTGCTTATGCAGGACTCCAGGTTATATCTCATCTTTGAATTCCTTTCCATGGATCTGAAGAAATACTTGGATTCTATCCCTCCTGGTCAGTTCATGGATTCTTCCCTTGTTAAGGTAAGAAGT